CCCTCGACCCCGCCGCCGCCCCCGCCATCGCCGCCGCCGCCGCCGCCGCCGCCGCCTCGTCCTCCTGCTCCACCAGCACGCACTCGTGCGGCGGCAGCGGGTGCTCGAACCACGACGCCCCGTGCCCGTCCTGCGCGCAAACACGACACTCAATTAAATACGGACAATGAAAGATGTGGTCCGATATCAAAACACATTATGCTAAAGATATTTTCGATCGCGTAGCCAGCATCCTCGGAGCTTGCAGCGGCCTGCCCGGAAACAAAGGTCTGGCGGAACCCAGAACTGGACTCTCAAAACTTGATGTTTCATTATGTAACTCATATGTAATACTATTATGTAACCGTTGAGGGAAGGACTAGTATACTTTTTGCAATATTATGCGTGGAATATTACCGATCCGTTACAAAAAAATGAGAGTTAAATAATAAACCACCACTACGTTTTTCTCTTTCCTTTTCTTTCAATATAACCCGCGGGATTTTTAGCTTGAATCTCAACAAGCTGCCCGAAAAGTGTGGCAGATCTATTTTGTCTCGAACGTTTCGGCAGGTTCTTTGATTTATATACAGAGTTCAGTCATATTAATGCGACCAACAACTATGTTCAACGTAAACATGCAGAAACCCTTCACAGACAGCAGGTGCCAGCACTAACAGTGGAGGGTATATAAAGCATGTTGGGTGGACACGTAAAACAATGCTGTAGTTGTCGCAATGCAGAAACAGAGCAATGTATTGGAAGTACAAATAGAAATGATTTTTAGCCTTCGAGCCAAGGGCAGAAGCGTTTCCGAAACGGCCAATTTTGTATAGTGTTCGGGTAGGGTTGCCACCTTGCCAATTCCAGAAAACCGGAGACCGCTGCGACCGGGGGGGGAGGTAATTATTGAAAATTCGATCGTGTTCAAAATAAAGATATCGAATAGCATTCCCGGGGGATGATTCTTGAAACTGTTGCGCGATGCGATTCTTGCATAATCGCTAGATGCTGTCTCTGATATGCGTAGAAAGAAAGAGACAGCGGATGGCGATAACACGAGAATCGCAAGACCAATTTTCATGTTCTGCTCTTTATCTTTCTAATGAAGAAGGAAAGGACAGATTTCTGATGAAATAGAAAAAGCTTTAAATTTTAAGTTGAAAAATCTATTTATTTTGTAAAAAATTTGAAAATGTTTTGAAATTGAAAAAAAAAAGAAAAAAGAAACGGAGATAATTTTTCAAAAACCGGAGACCGGAAATGAAGCTCAAAAACCGGAGTCTCCGGTCTAAAACCGGAGAGGTGGCAACCCTATGTTCGGGTGCCGCCGCGGTCAAAGTACACAGTGAACGGCAAAATGGCGATATCCCAAGACGGTGCTGAGGCGCACCACTCGCCATAGATGACAGGGGAGAACGATGGTTGCGGAGATGTGCACGGGCGAATAGACATGCAACATTTTCGAAGGCAAATCGGCTATGGATTTGTGTTCTTATCCCTCATCGCGTCGTTCGTGAAGGAATATACTTCTGCCGCGACATGGGGAACGATCATTTGAATAACTATATTTCCTACCAAACTCTAGAAGGCTAAGGACAGGTAAACAAGTTGCATTTATGTCCATTACCGTCTTCACTTTGGCTTTACTTGCAGTTTCAGACATATAAACCACTATTACATTACAGAAAATATTAATCGTGTATTAAATTATTTAAATCACAATACCGAGATGGCCCAACATCAGCGTTGAAAAGTTGTGCTACATTTCAGACGAAACTATACGTTCACAAAATAAATATAACCAAATAAATGAAGTTTTGTTCATTTCAAAGTATTCGGAAAGAATTGAAATTACTTTGCGTATTTTATTAAAAGCTGCGGATTTTCCTTTATACGTACTCTCAAATAAACTGAGGACTATTTCTACTATTTATTTCTCTTTCTCAATTAAAAAATCACTTTGTCAAAACTACATGAATGATACTGCCTAAAAAAGACTCTTATAATTCATTTTATAACACATCTTAATATACTTTTCGGAGACTATCTCAAAGACTGTAAAGTTGAAATTAGAGAAGTACTTCTAATTACAACACGAGATCAATAATAGAATTATTAGAAATGTTAAAGTAAACTTCAATTTTTTAATTAACAATATAAATATACAGAGGCAATGAATCAACAGGATACTCGTCATGAAAGTGTTCACTGACATTTGCAAATGGGCAATCGTTGCTAACCAGGGTACTACGATGCAATGAAAGGTTAAGACTTAAACGAAATGAGCATAAATAAGCATTTACGGATCTAGTAAGACTTACTATAATTCTTAAGCTATCCCATGGGAAAAAACCTGGTGTATCTTCAGCATATTTCCACATTCTAGTTCTGAAAAAAATGCCATAAACTCTTGTCCTATCATTAATTATCCTATCAATACTGACGCAAGATTCACCCACTCGATAATTCACAGAAAAACAATAATTGCTTGTGGCTTTATCACAGAAGAAAGAACACAGAAAAAGAAATAACGCCAAAGAATAATTATACACACGTGGTGAGGACATAACATATTTCCATAACGTAATACTGTCATTAATTTATTCACCGAACGGAATAAAAAATAGCACATTGACATTCAAACGTTTAATAGGTGATAAGTAGGGGTGGTTTTTTATGATCTAAAACATCGCCGAAAATGGCCAATAAAATGCTCTTGAAATGTTTTTAAAATGCCCTTAAAGCAAAGAAAAACGACTTACAATTTTTTATCAAAATTAGTTCAGATGAACACCTCAAACTGTTGGATACCTTACTGATGTAATCAAGTTTACTTCATTTCGTTCAAATAAACTCAGCTTGCTAACGTTTGTTTAGGACTGCCATTTACCACTAAATCTCGGCCTTAGGTTATCCCTAAATCGTTCGAACCGACAATGGCACTGATAGGCGTCGCAGGAACTTTAGATTACATACAACGGCTGACATTACAATTTCTGAGTGAAGAAATTCAGGAAGCTATTCTGGAATACTGTGCAGAACATTTGTTGCATCTTCTAAATATTATTTTAAGCAAGTACCATTACAATGATATTAAAATCGATTAAATTAGTGAAAATGCTTTAAAAACGACGGAAAAAATTAAAAAAGACTTATTACGGGAAATAAAAAATGGGTAATTTCCTTTTGTTATAACAAAAAATTAATGTATACCCAAAAAGGCATTGTTTCGATGTGAAAAAATGACATTTCATTAAAATCTGCCCCCAGAGATAAGAAATTATTGGGGCTAAAGAATAACACGTAGACTATTTCATACCTGTTTCCAAATTAGTGAACTCAGAAGAAGTTAACATTGATCACAATCAAGTGAAAATTATTATGATTGTAAAAGTTAGACACCAAAAATTAACAGATCGTGCCTGGGTGGAAGCGGTATGGCTTGGGTACTGCAGTTTAATCTCATTACAAAGAAAAAAATAAACTCCTCAAAGAGACTACAAATTTTAAGCTGACAATTTAAAGAATTATTAGGATGTACTAATAGATAAATAAAACACAAAAATAGTGACGAATTAAGCGAGTATGTTTATGAAAGTCGTCTTCAAATTCTTAAATTAGATGGAACCAGTTAAAATCAAGGTGCACACTGGAACGAGAGAAAATGGTAATTTGAAGAAATAAAAATTACACTGAATAACAAAAAAAACTGGTACACCTGCCTAATATCGTGTAGGGACCCCACGAGCACGCAGTAGTACCGCAACACGAAGCGACATGGACTCCACTAATGCATAGTGCTGGAGGTAATTGACACCATGAATCCTGCAGGGCTGACCATAAATTCATAAGATTACGAGGGAGTGGAGATCTCTTCTGAACAGCACGTTGCAAGGCATCCCAGATATGGTTAATAATGTTGATATCTGGGAATTTTGGTGGCCAGTGGAAGTATTTAAATTCAGAAGAGTGGCCTTGGAACCAGTAATTCTAGACGTGTGGGCTGTCGCATTGTCCTGCAGGAATTGCCCAAGTCCGTCGGGATGCACAATGCATATGAATGAGTGCAGGTGACCAGACAGGATGCATACGTACACCTGTCAGAGTTGTATCTAGACGTATGAAGGGTCCCATATCACTCGTACTGCACTCGCCCCATACCATTACAGAGCCTCCACCAGCGTGGACATTCCCCTGTTGACATGCAGGGTCCATGGATTCATGAGGTCGCCATACGCGTACACGTCCATCCGCTCGAAACATTGCGAAACAAGTCTACTCGGACCAGGAAACATGTTTCTTATTTATTTTGGTTTGCATGTTGGTGCTGATGGGGGTAGTATAGTAGATTTACAATTCTATAAGCTTTGAATAGCTAAAATATAATCTGCCTTCACATCTATTAATCTATTATAGCATTCGTAATAGCATTTCCATTATTTGCATGTTCAGTCCCTAATGCACGTACGATTTCATGAAGTAAAACAAAATAAATTCTTTTATCCTCTTGGTGTCCTCAATATCTCTATTATAATATCAATCTTGATCTAAATTAATATGAATTTCTATCGGAGAATTATTTCGTGTAAAAAATTGTGCATGTTATTGTATCCCAACTTTATCATCAGATTTATTGGAACACATAGGTTGATCACGCTGTCATTGATGCTCTTGACGTTTATACCATACAGTAGCGGGATGAAGAATATCTCTCTCAAATTTAATTTGTATGAGTTAACCAAGTTTCACATGTTAATTCAGTTAAATCCCAAATTTTTAGATTTTATGTTCAGAATAATTTTAGATAATGATTTTTATTAAGCAAATTGAAAACAAAAACACATTAATTCGAAGCCATAATATAGATTAAAGAATTTTATTACAATATTCTATTAGTTTTTGATATTTTTACATCTCAACACTTAAATGAATACTTTTGCTCTTCCACAGAATTCTAAATTTATAATTATCAAATTATTATAAAATAATTTAATCAAATTATTATAAAATACTAACTTAGATATTTTAGTCAGTTACATAAAAAACCAAAGCTATTTTAAGTATGTACCACGCACAAGTGAACTCAACCCAAATAAATTATTTTTTAGATACATTTCTTAGTCTATTTAAGATAAAATATTCTTACGC